CATCATGAAGGGCAAAGCAAATACAATACATATTGCATACATACATACATGCATACATATACGCATACATACATCTCTCTACCCATTCCCCACCCTTCCACTCACTCATCTACCCATTTGTCCATCCATCCACACCTCCCCACACCCACCCTTCTGTCACCCACCCATTCATCTATCCATCCACACACTCACCGCACCAATCCAACCCACCCATGTACCTACAGATCCACACACCCATCCGCCCACGCACTCAGCCAACCAACTCTCTATCCATCCACCCACCCACTCACCTATCCACCTCTCCATCCATCCACCGACCCATCCACCCACTCCTCCAAGCATCTTCCATCCATCCACCCAACCACACACTCCCCCAATCCCTCACCCATCTACCCATCCACAAACCCATCCACCCATCCAACAACCCACCCATCCATGTACCTACAGATCCATATACGCATCCACCCATCCACCCACCCATCCATCCACCCACTCACCCATCCACCCATCCACCTCTCTATCCATCCATCCACCATCCACGCACTCCCCCAATCCCTCACCCATCCACTCATCCACCCACCCACCCACCCATACAACAACCCACCCATCCATGTACCTACAGATCCACACACCCATCCACCCACCCATCCATCCACCCACTCACCCATCCGTCCATCCACCTCTCTGTCCATCCATCCACCCATCTACTCACCCCTCCACCCATGTGTCCATCCATCCAAACCCGTCTCCCCCTCACCCAAGTACTTACAGATCCACCCACCCATCCACCCACCCACCATCCATGCCCTCCCCCAATCCCTCACCCATCCACCCATCCACCCACCTATCCACCCATCCAACAACCCACCCATCCATGTACCTACAGATCCACACACCCATCCACCCACTCACACATCAGCCCATCCAACTCTCTATCCATCCATTTACCCATCTAGTTACTCCTTCACTCATCTTCTACCCATCCACCATCCACGCACTCCCCCAATCCCTCTCCTGTCCCCACCTACCCACCCACCCATTCATACTTCTACGCATCCATCCATCCACTGATCCTGGTCTTAAGTCTATATATTTCTTCTACTATTGCGATCCCTATCCAATGTTAGGATAAGATCTGGGCAACACATTCGTACATTGATATCTCAGAACTCTGCCATACGTTTGCCCCTAATATTATGCACTTTCCCATGAGACACAGCAGACCACAGAG